AGAGAGAGAGAGAGAGAGAGAGAGAGAGAGAGAGAGAGAGAGAGAGAGCTGGAAAGCACAGCCCGCAACTCACTGGCAAGGTCGTTCGACATCTCCTCCGAGCCCTCGCGCGACCTCCGGTTCCGCTCGTCGAGCTCGTCGCCCAGCGTGCCTCCAGACGAGGCGTTGCCCGGGCTACTCGGCTGGCGCCTCGGCTTGCGCCGCGGCACGTCCGCGACGTCACCATTCGAGTTCTCGCCTGCACCGCTGTCGTCGTCATCGTCCTCGTCCTCTAGACCCAGGTCGAGCACGGCATTCTCCGCAGCCTGCGCCTCGCTGAGCGTCTTCTCGTTGATGACGGCGAGGTACGACTCGTTCTCGCTGCGCAGCGTGCTGTTCGACGCCTTGAGGTCGCGCACTTCTGCTTGCAGCACCTCCAAGGAGGCGAGCAGGGTAGTCTGGCTCTGCGGCGCCTGGCCTGTGAATGGGCCCTGGCTCGCAGCGACGAGTCCGGCACTCAGTGGCGCCTCTGCAGCGACGGGACTGAGCGAGCGTTCCTCTAGCTGCTTCTGCAGCACCTCGGCCTCGCGCTTCAGATCCGCATTCGTCGCCATCAGCCGCTCGTTCGCAGCTGCCGACTTGGCGCGCTGCGAGTTCAGGAGCGCCTCAGTGTCGCTGAAGAACTGCCGCTCCTTCTCAGCGTTGGCCATCTGGAGCAGCGAGGCGGGTCAGTCACGCTAGGTCAATTTGAAGCTCGCAACCGGTACCATGCCGATGCAGCGGCACCCACCTGCTCTTCAAGCCGCCGGTCCGCCTCGCGGCGTGCGCGCTCCGCCTCCAGGTTCTCTTTCGTCAGGCGCTGATTCTCGGTCTGGAGGGTGCCGACCTCATTGTCGGCGCGCTGCTGCTCGGCGAGCAGCTCGTCGATGCGCTCCTCGCGTCGTGCCACGGCAGACTGCAGCGTGGCGCCCTCGGCTTCGACGGCCTCGATGCGCGAGCGTGCATCGGCCAGCGACGCCTGGTGCTCCTCGATCGTCAGGAGCTGCTCTTCGAGGCGAGCATTGAGCTGGAGCGAGAGCGTCAGCGACATACAGTGCCATGTAGCTGACGCGAAGTGCTCTCACGTCGTCCATGTGCTCCTTGCTCCGCTTCAGTGCCACCACAAGATCGTCGCGCGTCATGTCGCTCAGCGCCGCCTCCATGTCGGCCATGGAGATCTCGCGCGTCGGCGCCGCTGCGCTGGCAGGCGGCAGACTTGCCTCGATGGGCCGCGCGGGCTCCTCGGGCGGCACGGGCGACGTGGCCTGCGAGCGACTGGCGGCCGGCGTGGCATTGCCGCTGCCGAGGTTGGCGGCACCTCGCCGCCGCGCGCCCGGCGGCGCTGGGCGCGAGATGACGTTGCCGGAGCCCTCCATCGGCCAGGCAAGTCAGAAGTGTCAGGCGCCTCGAGGATGTGACGACGCAGCCAAGAGGGTGCGGCAGTGGTGCGAAGAGAGACGAGGCGCGGCTGCGACTGGAGCGTGTCTGGAGGTGGCCGAGTTGTCGAGCTGGCGCTGCTGGGGCTCGGCGTGGCGTGCGGCGAGGTGTCGCGCCAGGGTGTTCGTCTCGGCGCCTGCTGCAAGCTAGACAAGGCGCTCTTCGCAATGCGGCAGCTTCCTTGACGATGCCGAGCGCAGAAGAGAGGGACGGAGGAGGTGAGAGGGTGAAACAAGGAGCGCATCTGGCGCGCGCACGGCCGTCCCAGCATTCCGCGGCGGTACGCCCAGCGCAGGCACGGGGAAGGGGGGCGGCGCAACGCGAGGCGGCTGCAGCACGTGAGCGGCCGTCGCGCCGTCCTCGTCCTTCCCTCCGCTCCACCATCACCGCCTGCTCCAGACGTCTCTGCGCTCATAGCCCGCTTCACTGGTCTCTTGCCCCTCCGTGCTGCTCTATTTTCGCTTCGTCCCTCTCGATCACTCAGCCCGCGATGGAGGCAGCGTCCCAAGCGCGTCGCGCGCGTCTCGAGGCGCTCAAGAAGCGCAAGGCCGGCGGCGACGCAGCCGTGCCCGCTGCTGCGCAGGAGGGCGAGGATGGTGCTGCAGACGGAGAAGTGGAGCCCGAGGCACTGGACACAGCCAGCCTGGTGCGCACCTTTCGCAACTACGACCGCGCCACGGGCCAGGCGAAGCGCTTCCGCGCGGACATGGTGGGACAGGAGACAGTCGAGAATGGTGAGTCATGATCGCAAAGCAAGGCCGCAGCCATCGTGCTGGGCTCTCCATTCGATCCAAGCGGCGCACACACTGCTGCGGGAGCTGCTCAGGCACAGGTCCCTGCGGTGCTGCATCGAGCACGTGTCGAGCTGGCTGCCAGACACTTTCCATGCGGAAGGCCAAGCGTGCTGTGAAGAAAGGAGCGGCCCTGCATGCGGCGATACGAGCCGTATACGAGGCTTCGAACTTGTGATGCCGTCTCACTGCTCCCAGCCTGAAGTACAAAAGCTGACGCGGCATGACTGACAGAGGTCAAGGGCGTGCAAGAGGGGGTCATTGCGATGGACGAGCTGAAGCGGCAAGAAGACTTGGTGGGTGCTCTCGCTGAATGCAGGCCAGCGTGACGCGTCACTCATACCTCGACTGCAGGATCTCACCAACATTGCGCCGCGGAAGCCAAATTGGGATCTGAAGCGGGACATGGAGAAGCGCCTGGCGAAGCTGGAGCGGCGAGACAAGGAGGCGCGTCTGATTCTGATACGTGAGTTGCAGAGACGGCGCAGCAGTCGTGCTTGGGGGCTGACTATGAGTCTCAATTTGCAGGGCAGCGAGTACAGGCCTCAGCAGGCTCCGGCGCTGCAGGGCAGCTCTCGGCGGCCGAGGCGGAGCTGGCGGCTTCGGCTGTGGGCGCGGGCGTCGGCGGCGCGGGCATGCTGGAGGCAGGAGCGGGGAGCGACGACGACGAGGCTGACGATGAATGATACCTCATGGAGCCATCCTTTAGTGGTGCGAGCTACTCGCGCCGGCGCAGCCAGCAATGCCGGCCTGTCGCAGCGCCGCACAAAGCGGCGGCACGCGCGATTGACTCGCCGAGCTCGGCGGCTGCTTGGGCTGCATCTGCGGCGTTGTGTGAGGAAGGCGAACCTCGATTCACTGCTCTGCATCACACTGGCAGTGTCATCTTTGCTGCATGCTTGGAAGCGCTCCTCGATGTTCCTCCTCTCCGTCCTGGCATGGGGTCAGCGCAACGCGTCACGTGTGGCAGAAATTTGGCGCGCAAGGCAGCGCGCAGCGCCGCGGTGGAGGCGCGCCGCTCTCCGGTGATGAGCAAGCCTGCGCAGCTTGGCCTTTGTCCTCGACCTCGCCCACCTCTGGACCTAGACTCTCGCCTGCCTCTCGCCTCGCCCCGTATAGAGTAGCGCGCCATCTCCAGCTTTGCGCTCTGGCTCCTTTCTACGCCGCTGTCTTCGGCACATCTTGAGCGCAGCGCTGTCGGCCGACACCTCGTCCCCGCGCTTTCCCCGCTTGACCATCTCTCACAATGGTCGCCGACACAGAGCTGTACGACCTGCTCAACTGCGCGCCCGACGCATCGCCGAGCGAGCTCAAGGCCGCGTACCGCAAGGCGTCGCTGGCGAACCACCCGGACAAGAACCCGGGCAACGAGGAGGCCGCCAGCGCACGCTTCCAGGAGATCGGCGCCGCGTATGAGATCCTGAGCGACCCGGACCAGCGCGCTGCGTACGACCGGTATGGCAAGGAGCAGCCCGGCATGGGCGGAATGGGCGGAATGGGAGGTGGGCCAGACATGGACGACATCTTTGGTGAGTGCTTCCGCTGCGCACGCAGGAGCTCTTTACCGCTGTCATCGGGGAGGGTGATCCGCGAGTCTTGTGCATGCGCTGATGCTCTTGCCTCGCTCAGCCGAGATGTTTGGAGGCGGACGTGGCGGAGGGAGAGGCAGGCCGCCGCCGCGCCGCCGGCCCAAGAAGGGCCAGGACAGCCGGATCCAGTACGCCGTGACGCTGCAGGACCTGTACAACGGGCGCACGGCGCACTTCAACCTCAAGCGCGACCGCTTCTGCGGCAGCTGCGGCGGCTCGGGCGGGCGGCCAGGCGCCAAGCCGCAGCCGTGCGTCAAGTGCGGCGGCGAAGGGCGCGTGCGGCAGCTGCGCGACATGGGAGGAGGCATGGTGGCGCAGTCGTTCGGCACGTGCAACGCATGCGAGGGCGAGGGCGAGAAGGTGCGGGAGAAAGAGCGCTGCAAGAAGTGCAAGGGCGCAAAGGTCCGACAGGAGGCGACGAAGCTGGACATTGTCATTGAGCGCGGCATGCATGATGGCCAGTGCATCGTCTGCAAGGGCGAGAACGACCAGGAGGTGAGCATGACCGCATGGGGTTCATGCCGGGCACTTTCGCTGACTCGGCTTTACAGCCCGGCGTGCCTGAAGCAGGCGACCTGATCTTCCAACTCTCGCTGCAAGAAGACCCGTCGTTTAGCCTCAACGGCCTCGACCTGCTCTGCACGTGCCGCCTGACGCTCTCCGAGGCGCTGCTGGGCTTCGACCGCACCGTCTTGACGCATCTCGACGGCCGGCAGATCCGCGTGGAGCGCCGCGCAGGCGCAATCACGCGGCCAGGAGACGTGCAGCGGGTGCGTGGCGAGGGCATGATGACACAGGGCGATCGTGGAGAGCGAGGTGATTTGTACATTCGCGTGAGTGGAGCGTCGAGACGAGGACATGACCGCGCTGACGCTGCACCCGCAGTGGGAGATCGACTTTCCGCCAGACAACTTCCTCTCAGATGTGGACTCGCTCGTGCGTCACAAGTCACACTGTGCCTTTGTGACCAGCGCTGACCCTTGCGACAGAAATTGGCCCACTTGCTCCCGCCCAAGCGGCCCTCGCCGCCGGCAGACGCGACGACGACGGTCGAGACTGTCGCGCCCGAGACGGCGCCGCTGGAGGAGGTGAGCACCGGCAGAGCGGTCAATTCACTGCATTCTCTCTGACGCCCTGTGCAGTTTGGACGCAATGCGCTGCCCAGCCAGGAGCACGAGTGGGAGGACGACGACATGTCGGCCGGGGGAGGCGGCGGCGGCGGGCCGCAGTGCGCACACCAGTAGATGCTGCACGTGAACGTAGAGCTGGATATAGACGTGACTGTCACTGTGCTTGCTTGCCATACTATGCTCTTCATCCGGATGCTGTCTGACGATGTGCTTGCCTAAGAAAAGGGGCCAGGGCCCGGTCGAGAGGAGGAGCATGGCCGCCGTCGCGCGCGCCAACGTGAGCGACTCCCGCGCCGCACGAAGAGGGTTCCGAAATCCTAGAGCCCTTGTGCGCGCGCCCGAACGTGCGGTCATCGCGCGGCCCGGCCCAGCCTCGGCGACCTTCCTGTACCCACGCATCCCACCACACCCACACTCCCGCTGCCCAGCATGCGTGAGTCGCACGCCACTGGCGCTGTGCACGGATGCACAGCAGCTGTGCGGCTGGCGCGGCTGGCTGGCGCATCGCTGACCCGTGCTGCTGCCCTCGCCAGCACCGAAGAAGAATCAGAAGGTCAGCCTGACCGACTTCCTGAACGACGAGTGTGAGTCTACGCGTCCGGACTGCGAGGAGAGGACAGAGTGCCTGTGGCTGGTGCTGCAAGCTCGGTCCTGCACGTGTCAAGAGGCGCCGAGGATCGCCGAGGTGGACAGGGGCCATGCAAGAAGGTCGGACGCTCGGGCTGCAAGGTGGCGCAGCGGCATAGGCGGCGTGCTAGCCCTGGGCACTGGCTCGCCCATTTACCACTTTCTCGGCGGACGCTGACTGACGCGCGTATCCAGCGACCGGCAAGGTCAACTGGGCCGATGACATCGACGACCTGCCGACTGCGCGTGAGTGCTGCAGCGTGCCTCGGCGCGCCATACCCCTGCTCACAGGCGGCATCCAGCGTCTGGCCGCGGCTCGGATGACCGCTTCGCCCGCCGTGGCGGCGACTACCTGTCCACTGTGCCGGACCGCGCGGACCGCGACCGCATGATGGGCCCGCGCAGCTCGGGCTTCGACGAGGACCGCGAGCCGCGGCGCGACCTGCCGCTGCCCGACAAGCCGCCGTACACGGCCTTCGTCGGCAACCTGAGCTTCGAGGTGACGGAGGACGAGGTCAAGGACTTCTTCCCCGGCAAGGTGAGCTTGCTGCCAAGCGCGCACCCTCGCGCGCGTGTGCATTGTCTGGCGCTGGCGTGCTCACGCGCGCGCCTCTCAGAACATCAAGGTCCGCCTCGTCGAGCGCGACGGCCGCCCGAAGGGCTTCGGCTACGTCGAGTTTGACACGCTCGATGATCTCAAAGATGGTCTGAGCCTCAGTGGCTCGCAGATGGGCAGCCGCACCGTGCGCGTCAGCGTTGCTGAGCCGCGTGAGTGCATGTGCGCGTTACAGCTGGCCGAGCGTGAAGCTGACTGGACGTGGCGACGCAGCGAAGAGCGGCTTTGGCGGCTCGAGCATGGCCGAGGAGGCCTCGCAGTGGCGCCGTGCCGGCCCGCTGCCGCCGGCGGACCCGCCTGCGCGCCGCGGCCCGCCCGGTGGCGGTGACCGCCCGAGCTACAACCGCTTCGAGTCCTCTGCCTCGACCGGCGGCGGCTTTGATGCCATGGAGGTTGGCGCCGGTGGCCGCAGCGGCTTCGGCAGCAAGTTCACGCCGGCACCGGCAGGCGTGCGCGATGCGCCGCCGCATGGTGCTCCCCGCACGCCGCGCGTCGGCGCTGACGGCGGCCCGCCGCCGCCGCTCGAGCCGTCGCAGGGCGACGAGGCGTCGAACTGGCGCACGGGCAAGCCCGTCGAGACGCCTGTCGAGGCGCGCCGGCCCAGCTCGGGTGTCACGCCCGGCGGTGCGGACCGCGCGCAGAGCTTCCGTGGCGGCGATGCGACTCAGGTCGACGAGCGCTACGCTGGACAAGAGCGCATGGGCTTCGGCAGCAAGTTTGCTGCCACGCCGCCGGAGAGCCCGAGCGGAGGCGCTGGCAAGCGCGCCGGCTTCGGCTTCGCAGCCGGCCGTGCCGGCCCGCCTGGCGCTCCCGGTGCTGGCCCGAGCGCTGCACCCGTGACGCCGACTGCCGGCGATGAGGCCGACACCTGGCGCAACGCTGCTCGCCGGCCTGCACCCGCTCGCGGCCCGAGCCAGGGCCCTGCCGCTGGTGCGCCGCCGGCCGAGCGCAAGAAGCTCGAGCTGAAGCCGCGCAGCACGCCGACGCCGGCAGCCGAGGGCGGCGAGGCACCCAGCACGCCGCTGTCGCCCACCGGCGAGCAGAGCTCCTCCGGCCGCGCCAACCCCTTCGGCAACGCCAAGCCCGTTGACGCTGCGGAGCGCGAGCGGCTCATCGAGGAGAAGATGGCCGCGCGCGAGAAGGAGCGCAAGGAGCAGCGCGAGAAGGAGCAGGCGGAGCGCATCGCTGAGCGGCAGGCCGCACAGGATGCGGCGCCCAAGGGCCCGCGTGGCGACCGCAACAAGCCCGCCGGCGCAGCCGCAGAGGGCGGTGCTGCCTCGCCGGCCCCGGCTGGTGCTCCTACTGGTCCGCGCGCATCTGGCTCGGCCGGCAACGCATGGCGCCGCGAGCCGTCTGCCAGCTCGCCGTCGGTGCCAGCTGGCCCGGCGGCTGACGCCAAGAAGACGTCTGCGCCTTCGTCGGAGAAGGGATCAAGCCAGGCTGAGGCCGTCGCCTCTCCGCCGGCACCCGCTGCTGCTGCGGCCGCACCAGTCGCACCGCCAAAGCCGGCACCGACGGGTGCCTGGGGCGGCGGCCGCAAGCCGAGCGGTGCGCTGAACCTGCCTTCGGGCGCGACGTCTCCCGCTGCCGGCAGCGGCTCTGCTACGCCGGCCGCGCAGGAGAAGGGCGAGGCGGAGAAGAGCGAGGCTGCGTCCGAGGTGCAGGCTGCAACAGAGGGTGTGGCTGCCGCCTCGCTCGACGAGAAGTCGGCGTAAGCAGCCGCCTCTGCCTGCCCACGCCGCCTGTGCCCGTGCTCCTGCTTGCCCCCCGTTGCTGCGCCTCTGCCGTGCCTCTGTAGCGTCACTCAGTCCTCGACCGCATCATCCTGCGCCTGCACCTTAGACAAGCTCTGTTCCATCACGCTCCCCCCTCTGGCCCTTCTGCGCCGGCACTGTGCCGTCGTCTTCACCCTCCCTACCCCCAAAATCGTTGACATCGCGCGCGGCGTCGTGCGGTGCTCGCATAATGTGATCTCAGTATGCCCCGTCTGCTCTGCCAGAGTGACTCCGAGCGTCCTCGTCTGCTCACACGCCTGCCGATTTCATTTTTGCTTTAGATTAAGGGCTACGTCGCGATGCGCTGCACGAAGCCGCGAACAGCGTGGAGGATGCTGCCCTCCTCGCTCGCGGCAGCAGACGCAGCGGCAGCCTTGCCCGAGTCTACGGCGCTGCTGAGGTCGCGCACGAGGCCCACCTCGAGCTCGCGCGACTCGCCGCGCATGCGCATCGCCAGCTGGGCAGCGGCAAAGAGCAGCGTCTGCTCCAGCGCTGCCGCCGAGGCGAGTCTCCGCTCTTGGGTCGCACTGGGTGCGCGCACCTCGTCGCAGAAGTACGTGCTGAGATCGAGCAGTGTGCCGATGGAGGTCGGCGCCGTCGGCGCAGTGCGGATAGTCTGGGGCAGGCGCATGTGAGCAACAGCATAAAATCTCGACAACGCCGAGCAACTCACAGGTGCAACGAGTACCTTGTCCATCGGCCAGTCGTCCGCATCATCGATGAGCACGTCAAGCGCGCCGCTCCAGGTGCACAGGGCTGCCACGGCGGTATGTGCGATTTGCCGCATCTGCTCAGTGACTTGCTCCTCTTCGCGCTTGAACAGAGCAGCTTCCGCCTCGGGCACCCTCGAAGACGCATCGTCGCCGGACGAGGCGCCGGAGATCAAGCTGGCGAGCTCTCGCGGGCGCTGGAGCAGGTACACGATCTGCTGCAGCAGACTCGTGGTGCGCTTGGCTAGCGTGTTCAAGATCCGGGCCGTACCACTCGCGTCGCTGCCGCGCGAACGCGATGAGCGCTGCCCAGTGAGGTCGGCGGACTGCGCCATGCAGTAGAAGAGCTGCGTGAGGACGACAAGCTCGCTCAGCTGTGGCGAGGAGATGCTTGGGCCCTCTGCCTGCGAGCGCTCGCGCCAGCCAAAGTCGCGCTGTGAGGAGTCCAGAGGCGCGAAGCTGAGCGCGGCGAGCACTTGAGCGCCGTAGACGCGCACGAAGCCTTGCACCTCGACCTCAACGAATGTCCTGTTTGCTGCGACGGCGCCGCGCGAGAGCCTATCCGGGCTGGTGAGGCTCTGCACGAGCGCGGCGACGATCTGCAGAATGAGCACCCAGCACGCGTGGCCTGGGTTGACGCCGCCGGCGGGCAGCGTTGGCCGCGTGGCACCGGTCTCGAGGGCTGTCGTCAGGGCATTCGAGCTGAGGCCAGTCATGACGCCCGCGAGGATGAGCTGCTCGGCAGCAGACACGTTCGACGCCAATGCGAAGAAAAGGCTGAGGATGGACGACACGAAGAGCGGCCGCGATGTCGCAGGTGTGGCGAGCGGGCTGTCGCTGTCGCGAAGTGCAGCGACGTCGGACGCAAGCGGCGCACGGCTGAGCAGGTCGACGCATGCCGGCAGGAGGCCTGTCGTCTGAAACCTTGCAGACCAGAAGTGCGGCTGCAGCCCGAGATCAGACCGCAAGAGCAGCTCAAGCACGCTGCTGACGAGCGTGAGGTCCTCTTCAAGCTCGTTCAGAGCACGTAGGGTGACGGTCGCAGGCGTCGCGCTCGCCAGCAGCGCCTTGTCGACGAGCAGTCGCAGTGCCATGATCGCATGCGAGGCGAAGGAGTCGACAGCAGCATGCAGCACGCTGTGTGCCTCGGAGTTGCGCGGCCGTGGTGCGTTCGATGCTCCTGCGCCGCTCTTCAGCATCACGCGAGAGCGGCGGCCGCAGAGCAGGATGATGCGGAAGAGCTCGCCGTGGAAGCGCGGCGCCCGCGTCTCGCGCACGCTGTCCTCGAGGCTGAAGCCTTCGTGCGTAAGGATACGTTGCGCGAGGTTGACCACCGCCTGAACGTCCTTCGATGAGCCGACCGCCGCGTTGGTCTTGCCAAGCGCCGGCGTGGCATCCGTCGACGAGCCCCACGCCGCCTCAAGCAATACCGTCAAGAGGCGCAGGCGCTCGGCGTGAATGCCACGCATGACATCGCCCGAGCGCGTCTCGTCCGCAGTGATCATGGCGCCGTGGATCCAGGCGTCGAGACAGCTCTGGCGGAGCTCCTGAGCGCCGGGCGTGCCGTGCACGGATGCACCGATGCGTCCAAGTGCCGTCTCGAGGAGCGATCGCCAAGCGCGCAGCAGAGCGGCCTGGGCATCGATGGCAGTCCAGTCGAGGTTCAGACCGGCGAGGAGCACCGACGCTTGCTGCACGCCAAGGTCGTCGATGCCCTCCTCCGTCATGCTTCCGTCGCCGTCGAGATGTGTCGGCGCAATGAAGGCCTCAAGCTTGCGCCGCAGCAGCTCGACATCATACACGTAGCTGTCGCCGGGCTGGCGCGAGAAGTCGAAGTCGTCCAGGCGAGCTGGGATGCGCAAGGCATCAATCGGCACTGCGGGAAACGCAAGCGACATGCTCGACTCGACGTCGCTGTGCAGCGCTGGGTCGCATTCGAACTGCAGGACCTTGACGAGGATCGGCACGAGCCGCTTAGATACCTTCAGCACGCCGATGAGTGCCTCGAGGCTGGCGCTTGCGGCGCTGTCTTGTGCGCGGTCTTTGCCCTTTGCCGACAGGAAATCGAGCTGTACGTCGCGCGCGGCGATGCCGAGTGCTCGTGCTCTGCTCATCGTGCGGAAAGCGTAGCTTGCGGCCTCGTCGTGGACGTCGGTCTGCAGCACGCCATCGATGACCTCGACAAGGCGCGACGGCCGCGGCGGGGGCTCGATGACGCCGTTCGTGGAGATCTCGAAGAGGTTCTTCCAGACGTCCTTGCGGCTGCGCAGCGTTGCGAACAGAGCACGGTGCTCAAGAGCATGTTGCCACGCGACATCGAGGAAGCGCAGCGCGGACTCGAGCAGCGCAGGGGCCTCTGTCCAGTACTCGTCCCAGTGGTCGAGCACGTCCAGGGCGGCCTGTAGCGCTGTCCTGCCGAGCGCCGGCTCGCTCTTCTTGCCCTCCTTGTTGTCGCCGGCGGCGTTGCCCTTCGTTGCAGCAAGCGTGTGCTCGGCATCCGAGTCCAGATGCCGTCCGGTGAGTAGCAGTGTCGCTAGTGTTGGCTGCGAGTCGACAATGCTGGCGAGCATGGTCCAGAGCGTCGTGCGCAGGTCGGCGTCGACGGAGTCGCTTTCGACAAGGCTGATGAGTCCGGTGACCGTCGACTCGAGCTCGGCCGACGAGCCGAGGTGGCCGACCAGAGTCGGAATGCCTGTGGACGGTCCGGCATTTCGGCTCAGTCCAGGCGCCGAGACCTCGACCGTCGAGCGACAGATGGCGCTGATCAGTCGCGCAGCCTCGCTGCTCAGGCTGCTCGAATACGGGAAGAGAGTGTAGGCCAGCACGGCGCTGGCAAGCTCGATGCGCGCAGCGCGGCGGCCCAGCATCGGGCGCGTAGCGACGACGGCGTGGTCGAAGAAGAGCAGCTCTAGCAAGCCCAGGTGAGCAGACTGCGAGCTGGGCCGGACGGCGTGAATCTGGCGGCGGCGCTGCACGATCAGAGAGGCGAGACGCAAGCTCGCCTCGACGAGGCTCTCGGCGGCCTCTGCCTCGAGGTGTCGGACGTGACGGTAGAGCTGCGTGATGACTTGCTGCCCGGTGCCCAGCACCGCGACGAGGGGCGCCAAGTACTGTGGCGTCGCGTGGGTGACCAGAGCGCGCTCGAGAGCGCTCGTGGGTTCGACCTGGGCTGCGCGCATGCTCTGGTCGCGGAGCACGCTCTCGAAGAAGCGCATGCATCGCCTGCCGAGCTCGATCTGCTCGCGAGTCCGCACGTAGCGCCAGCTCTGGAACTCGGTCCAGACGACCTCTACGATCCAGCTCGTGGCACGCAGGAGCACGTCGCCCTTGATGCGCAGCAGCTCTGCCGGGATGGCGAACTGCGAGCGCTGCATCTCAAGCAAGAGCGCCTGGTGAAGGTCGATGAGGGCGAGCGTGCCGGCGAAGCTGCCCTGCGCCACATCGTGGATCGTGAGCGTCGATGGAGGGATGCCCGTCGTGTCGAGCTCCGACGTAGACGCGCGGGAGAGGAAGGGCAGGGCACCGACGCCGCCAGTCAGGACATTCGACGAGCGCAAGGCCACGAAGATCTCCGACGGACGCGCAGGGACAAGCAGCGTGAGCAGCTTGAGCGAGCTGACGACCAGGCGAGAGGCAACGGGCCGCGCGTCGAGCGCTTGGTTGAAGATGCGCATCGTCACCTCGACGAGGTCAACTGGCGGCGCGTTTTCGTCCAAGTCGAGCCCCTCGTATCTCGGGAACGAGTCGAGATGCGACAGGAGGGCGGCACACGTCTCGGGACTGCCGGCGATTGTGGCGCTGAAGAGGTCCAGAATATCGGCAGCGCACTCGCCGTGCTGCGAAGGGTCTTCTCCGGGCGCCAAAGCTGCGAAGCTCAGAATGTTGGCTGGGCCGCCAGAGAAGACCTTTGCGTCGTCGCCGGACGTGTTGCCGTCTGGCGAGGCCGGCCCCGTCAGTAGGCCTACGAAGCTCGCGAGCACGTCCTGCAGGATGCGCCATGCGCTGATCGGCCCGGTGGCCTCCCACACAACTATCGGCGCCGCGTCCACTTCGGACATGGCCCGACCGATCGTGCCCTGTGGAATGCTCCGCCAGCCAAGAAACGGGATCGAGCGCTTGGCACGGTATGTCGTGGTGGAGTAGTCGCCGGTGTCGAGCGTCTCGAAGGCTGCGCTGACGCCTCCAGCCTGAGCACGGAGCACCTGCGCGACGCCCGGCAGCTCGGCGAGGAACTCAAACACGCTCGCAGAGGCTTGTGCGACGCTCGGAGATGCAGCAGTGCCTGGCTTGCGGAGCGATTCGATGCCACAGGCGCCTGTGAGGGCGGTCGCCAGACGCACGAGCGGCCGGAAGGAGACGGGCCACCGGCGAGCGGCCAGCTCCAGGAACGCGCGCCGGTCCTCGTGCTGGAAGTCGCTCTGCCAGAACTGCGTGCAGAGCGCGGCCAGACCATCGGAGCTGCCGCCGCCTTCCTCGGGCGCAGCACCAGCTCCGAACAACGCCTCCCAGAGCTGCAGCAGGCCCTCGTGGTCCGGCACGAAGGGCGCACGCACGACCTCGGTGACGGCCAGCAGCAGTCCCTTGAAGATTGCGCGGTGTGCAAGCGATGAAGCAATCGACGTCGACACGGCCGACGACGTCGAGGACGCCGACACCACGGGCGACGTGACAATGGCGTGCATGGTGCGGAAGAGCTGCATCGACGGGTCGAAGGCAGCCGAGGCCAGGCGCTGCCACAGCGGACCGCCTGCTGGGTCGTCCGGCGTCGTCTCGAGCTCCAGGCCGCGCAGTCGTGGCGGCAGTGGCTCGCCAGGGCGTGCGGCGTGCCAGTCGCGCAGTGCCACGTCGAGCCGCTGCAGCACGAGTGCCCAGGCAAGCAAGATTGGCGAGCGGAGCGGGTCCTCGCTCGAGTCTTCCAGGTAGTCGATGCCCGCGGAGACCTGCCGCGGGTCGGCAAAGAGCGACTGGCTGGCGCCCCCATCTGGCGCATCGCTCTGGTCCGACGACAAGGGACCCAGCTCAATGCCGTCCATGACGCGCTCGAGGTCGAGGCTCTCGACTGCAATGAGCGAGAGCATATGCGTGATGCACTGCAGCAGCTCGGCTGCCTGGCTGTCAAAGAAGCCAGCGTTGGCCTGCTGCCTGCCAAAGTCGGTGCGCCGCAGCACATCCAGCACGTCGCCGACAAAGGCGCCAGTCGGCGGCAGGCGTCCGTAGTAGAGCAGCGAGATAGTCTCCAACAGATGAAGCTGCTCGCGCAGGCCCTGCTGCGCCCAAAAGACTGCGTGTCGAGGATTCTGGCGGATGTGATCGGGCAGGCTCCGCCCCGTGAGAGCGACGAAGCCTTGGAGGCAGCGCGAGCCAAAGTCGGGCGTGATGAGCTCCACGAGCACGCTGTCTGCCAGCGCATGGAACTCGTGATACTCGTCGTCCGCGATGCGCAGCAGAGCAGCGACGCAGCGCAGCACATAGAGGCGCTCTTCGAAGTAGAAAGTGCTGAAGGCGTCAAGCAGGTCGGCGCGCAGCTCTGAGCTGCCGGCTGCGGATGCTGTCTTCGAAGAGCCGGCAGCCGGTGCGCCGGAACCTGCGCGACTCTTCTTGCCGCTCTCGCGGCTTGCGCGCGACAGCAGATCGAGACTCACGTCTTCGCCCTCGAGAAAGGCGCGCAGCAGCAAGTATGCCTCCACCTCGTCGAGCTCGTGCCGCTCGCTGATGGAGAGGGCAAGCTCGCGCGAGAAGTCGTCGACTGTGACAGAGCTATTCTGCGCGTATGGCAGCGACATACTGCCCTTGCTGAGCTTGCTGCGAGCCTCGGCAGACGGCCGCGCGCTGGGCTCTCCACATGCACGCAGCTTGCCGATGCGCTTCAGCAGCGCCGTCTTGAGCTGTTCGGGCGTCATGTGCCGTCGCGAGCACTCGAGGTTGTCGTAGAGATCGCGGAAGGTGCTGCGGGCGCATGCAGCGTCAGAACACGCCGGTCTGGCCGATCACGCTTGGGGCAAGAGCTCACCATACTGCCTCTACCGGCGCAGCCGACGCTGCCGCTGCCGAGGGTCCGGCCGATGCCGACGAGGCCGGCATGGCTGCACGACACACGACGAGGGCAGAGAAAACTGGGCGCCGCGGTAGCTGCAGTGCGGCGCAAGGAGGGCGAGTACGGAGGAGGGCGAAGATGGTCGGGAACGACGCATGGAGCGTGCGGCTCGGACCTCGCGTCTCGCAGCGGCAGCAGGGCTCGGCGCGACGCGCACGTGACGCGGCCGCGCGAAGGCCCATCGAGCGGCAGCAGCAGCAGCAGCAGCAGCAGCAGCAGCAGCAGCGCCGCTTGCTTCTCGTCCTCATCATCCCCAACCCGCTGCCACCTGCATCCACAGGCCAGCGTCCTCTGATGCGCTGCCACACAGCGCGCTGAGCTCCACGCCGCCCGCGATGGCGCCTCTCTCCTCTCCGTCGCGGCCCGCGACGCGCAGCACTGCCGTGCGCCGCATCGTCGGCGATGCGCAGCCAGCCAGCGCCGTCACCGAGCTGCCCCCGGCAGCCGATCACGACGATCTGTTCGGCAGCAGCGACAGCGGCAGCGACGACGAGGGCGATATCAGTGGCACGTCGGCCTCTGCCGTGGACGCCATCACACGTGCAGCAGCTGCATCGCCGCCGGCACCGCGCCTCGCTGGCATCGCCTTGCCGCTCGGACGCGGCAGCAACCGCACGTCAGCCACCTCAACACCCGCGAAGGGCCTCTCGCCTGCGCCGGCAGCATGCCGCACTAGCCCCAGTGAGCCCGCCGTCGGCCCTGTGGCCGGCGGCGCGGTGAGAGGCCATACACAAAATGTGCGCGCGCCTCCGGCAGCCTTGCCATCCCTTCCTTCCCAGAACCGTCCTGAACGCCGCCCTCTCGGGCCTTTCTCCCCTTCCGTTCCCACAGGCACCCCGCTAGGCTCATCTACGTCACGCTCAAGATCAGGCACGCCGCGATCGTCTCGCCAAGACGATGATGCTCGAGCTTCGAGTAGCCGACGGCCTGCCTCGCCTCGCGACAGCCAGAGCCTCGAGAAAGTGTCGTGGCCGTCGCCAAGCACGGAGCAGGGCGGTAAGGCACTGCCGCCTGCTCGCTTCGCACCCGCAGAGCAGCCAGGCACGCTGGAGAACGAGATGGGAACGAGCGCACGCCTGAACAAGCGCGGCGGCCTCGCCGCGACGGGCGCAGTGACTGACATCGTGAGCCGGGCGAAGAGACAGCGCATCGCCGGTCAAGAGGCTCGCACACGCCGCGAGAGCGCTCCAGTCTCAGCGTCCGGCAGCGCCTCTCCGGCTCCACGTCGCGTCGCAGCACCAGTACCGCCGCCCCGCCGTCCGGATGCCAGACCGGTTGCTGTTCCGAGCGCTGCTAGCACAAATCTCAGTCTTGATGCCGCATCCACATCCGCGCTCTCGGGCGACCAGATGTTGCAGCTTTTGCTCGCGCAGATGGAAGACTCGCAGGTCAATGGCGGCAGCCCTCGCAGCGCATCTGCCGGCGACCCGAACGTTCCATCGCCGCTGCGCTCAGGAGCAGATCTGATGCTCGGCTCTCCGGCTGCGCATCCGCCCGGCACGCCTCGATCGGTCATCTTCCGTCCGCCGCCGGATCCTCTGCAGGCTAAGGGTGCCGGACCTCAGTCTCGCCGTCTCGCGAAGCCTGCGCTGCCCAAGGACCTGCAGGACGGCATCAGCGGCAAGACTGCGACTGCGTCGACTCGGCGCCAGACAGCATCGTCGCGCAGTCCAGACCCCGACGTCAGCATTCCGCGCTCTTTACTCGAGTCTCTCATCGCTGCCAACAGCGCCGGCAACCTGCCGGCCAACGCACAGGCAGCACTGCAGCGTGCGCTCGCGGCGTCTGCCTCCAGCGAGGCGCCTTCTCCTGCGGCCTCGACGCCGAGAGCCCGTGTCGGCAGGGCTCGAGTTGAGAGATCGCAGTCTGCGCTCAGCACTGCCGCGAGCACCAGCGCCAGCGGCTCTGCCAGCCCACTGCCGGAAGCTCCCGAGGCAGCCGGCTCCTCTGCTCCGGCCGCGCCAGCATTCCCAGTCGATCCTCGTCCCGAGTCAGTCGAGGCCATGCTCGCACGCCAGCTCGCCGACGCCACGACTGTGCATGCGCGTCTGGTCAGCAATCTCTACCGTCTCAAGGTGGATGCCTACGTGCTGGCCTCGGCGCGGCAGGTGGTCAACGAGCGCATCGCCACGCAGCACGACATTGCCTATCGCCGCAGCTTCATCAATCAGCGCGGGCCCGGCTCGATCTCGGGCCCGCCGATCGTCGATCCGCCGCCACTGCCGGTGCCGCCACCGCGTCCGCCGCCGGCTCAGGCGAACGACGCATCGGATGATGCAGCAGCTACGTCGCAGAGCGTCTTTGAGCGCGTGCTCTCCGGCGCCTACGACGTGGACTCCGACTTGCTGAACGGTCTCGGCCTCTGAGGGAGCAGGAAAAAGAGGGAGATGGGACGAATAGGCAGGTCGAGGCAGGATGCCTGAGGGAGGAAATGGAGAGAGAGCGGAGAATGGAAGGCCCCCGTAGGGCAGCAGAAGAGAAGCAAAAGAGCCCGACAAGACTGCCACGCCCAGCAGCGGCCAGATCCGTCCTCATCGTCACGCGTCACCCACAACCACACACACACATCACTGGCTACCGTCTAATTCCATCCATGCATGCGTGGCGCCGCGGGAGGCACAGAGAACGGAGAGCTGGGGTGAAGGGGACGTGTGTCCTTCACAGACGGACCTTGCTGTCGGTGCTTTGCCGCCATGTCCGCTCCATAGCCTCGCCGGTCGACGGCGCCGCAGCCGCAGCTGGCAGACCGGCACGCTGTGCCGCCTCTTCTGGCGCAGCACGAGCTGCTAGCCTGCTTTGCCGCCACGAGACGATGGCCTCGACGACCTCGTCGAACTTGCCGCGCAGATTGTGGTCGGCGTCCTCGATGAGACCTGAAGCAAACAGTCAGCAGACGCAGCTGGCACGGCGAGCGCAGCTCGACGCACATAGTTGGCACGAGCCGGGTCTCCGCCCCGGCCCGGTCAGCGTATTGACGTAGCCCGCAGCATCGCACGTCGGCACGGTCTTGTCTGCGGTGCCGTGCAGAATGAGGCTGCGCGGCTCGAAGCGTTAGCTGCTGGACGCCACTCTGCGACTTGCTCGCCCGACGAACCAGTCTGTGTCGGCCGGGAAGTTGCGCACCGTCTGCTCCATCGGGAACTTTGCGAATGCCTCTACGTCCTCAGGGCGCACAATCACCTCTCGATCCTGTCCCGCCACTCGCACCTTCCAGCGGTACACTCCTTCCTTTGCAAAGCCGGCGTTGAACTCGGCATCACGCTTGTGGATGCCCGCCATGCGCCAGCGCCCTGCCACACTGGCCCAGAGCGGAATGTCCTCCTCGGGATCGACCCGCATCGCCTCGGCAAAACGCGCGTAGTACGCCCAGCCGACTATGGAGCCGCGAGAGTGGCCGACGATGAGCTCGATGGAGTAGTTGTAGCGCTCGCGCAGGAACATAATGACCGCTCGCAGATCGTCGACGTCGTCCTGTGACAACGTGTCAGCTAGCAGTAGCTTGGCGGAACTGAGATCAGACTCACGCCAAACTTGGCCATGCCCCAGCTGCCCGGCGTCTCGTGATTCGCGCTACAGAGAGTGTCTTAGCACTGTTGCTGCTTCAGCAGCTCGCTGTCACAGGCCACGCACCGGAAGTCAAAGCGGAAGCTGTCGATCGGCAACGCATCGACGAGCTTCTTGTGGTAGATCTGGTCCTGTCACGCCAAGCAGAGCATGTCAGCCCGCTGCTGCGGTCCTGGCTGTGACGTGCATCCTTCGACGCACCTTGTGGGCCAGCACGCCGTGGAGGATCAGCGCGACGGGGCGGCGTGGCAGGGCCGCCTTGAGCGTGGCGTAGCTGGGGTCATTGCTGGGCGGCAGCGGCGCGAACACCTCGTGCTGCGCGATGATGCCCGCAATGTCGACTGGGTTCTGCGGCGACGAGGCATGCACGAAGATCTTGGTCTGCGTCGGCCTGGGGTGCGCAGACGAGGCGGCTGCCGGCGAGGACGGGTTGCTCGTGGACATGGCGGATTGCCGAGAGTGTGTGCGGAACGCGTGAGGAATGGGACGAGCAGAGAAGTGCTCAGGAAGAGAACGAGTGCGAGGAGCGCGGAGGGAAGATGTGGGGCGGAAGGAAGGCCCAACGCGGGAAGGCGCGCGCTCCAACTCGCTTGGCCGCGCGCCCGGCGCTCGGGCGGCGAACGGCGCCGGCGGCTGTTCCCACGCTCACCCGGCCGTAATCAAGATTCTCGGTGGCGCGACCTTGCAAGCCGCCGGTGCGAGTCATCCCGCCCTCCCTGCCACCACCATCTGTCTGTTCCACCCACCTTCACTGCTGCAGCAGCTCGCTGCACGCTAGAATGGCCTTCTCCGGCGCCCTGACGCTGACGGACCTCAACGACTACCTCGGTCCGTCGCAGGCATGCATCAAGCCCGTCTCGGGCGCCGTCGAGACGCCCGTCGACGATGCCGCCGCAGCGTCGACGTCCATCGCCATTGACGCCGATGGCACGTACTTCGAGCAGCAGGGCGCCAATACTGCCGCCTCTGCTGCTCAGGCGCCGCAGCCGCGTGCCCGCACGCGCCTGGAGACCGCACAGATCTCGCTCGACGACTGCCTCGCCTGCTCGGGCTGCGTCACGAGTGCCGAAGCGGTGCTGGTCGGCATGCAGAGCACGGCAGAGATGCGCAACAAGCTGGCAAGCTTCGCAGAGGTGAGCATTGATGGCATTGCGACCCCATCGAGCAAGAGCTTATGCCTGCCTCGCAGCTGCCGTCTGGCTCCCGGCCGCTGCTCGTGGCGTCCATAGCGCCGCAAGTGCTCTCCTCGCTCTCGGCACGCTACACGCACTCAGCCGACCTCGTCACGCCTCTCACCGACCGACAGCTGCTCGCACGCATCTCGCATTTCCTGCGCACGAGCTTCGACTTCGATGTCGTGCACGATACGACCTTTGCGCGGCACCTCTCGCTGCGCGCGCACCAGCGCGAGTTCAGCGAGCGGCGAAAGGCGAGGCAGCAGCTGCCAATGCTCGCCAGCGCCTGCCCTGGCTGGGTGTGCTACGCCGAGAAGACGCACGGCGAGCTGCTGCCGCTGCTCTCGCGCACGCGCAGCCCGCAGCAGATGGCTGGCCTGCTGGCGAAGCGCACGCTCAAGGAGTGGCACGGACGCGCTGCCGTCTACCACGTGGCGGTGATGCCGTGCTACGACAAGAAGCTCGAGGCGAGCCGGCCGGACTTTGCGCAGGGCGCGGAGGAGGAGAAGCAGCGAGACGTGGATTGCGTCATCACGACGGGCGAGCTGGACACACTGATGCGCGAGGAGGGCTTCGAGCTGCTCGACCCGGTGCCCGGAGAGGAAGACGAGCAAGAGGCAGTGCAGCAGCGGATACCCGATCTTGTCCCCGCAGCAGGCTCCTCGAGCGGCGGCTTCCTTTTTTCACTGCTCGCCGACGCCTGGCGCACGCATCTCGCGTCGCTGCCGGACTCGGCGCCGCAGCCGCTGCTGGACGTGCGGACGATCCGCAGTGCCGACTACACGGAGTACGTGCTGCGCGCGGCCGACTCGGACGAAGTGCTCTTCCGAGGCGCGGCGTGCTACGGCTTCCGCAACCTGCAGAACCTCGTGCGCCGCTTGCAGCGCTCCACAGGCCTCAAGGGCAAGAACAGCGCCGTCGCGGGACGTCTCGTGGAGGACTCTGATTCGCCACGTCGCGGCAGAGGCGGCATGGTGCGCCGCGGCCGAGGCGCGGCCGTCTCAGCGGTGGCCCGCAACGGCGTCGACGAGGCGTATGACTACGTCGAAGTCATGGCCTGTCCCGGCGGATGCGTCAATGGCGGTGGCCAGCTGCGGCCGCCAACAAATGCACTTGAGGGTCAAGAGCAGCCGGATCCGAGCGCCAACTCGCTCGTCGCGCGCGCTCTGGCAGCCGCCGACTCGACGGAGATGCAGATCGACGCGCAAGGCAGCAGCAGCGGAGTCGCTACGCCGCTGAGCACTGGCGGCGAAGAGGAGGTGCGAGGATGGAAGGGCACCAGTCGCGAGTGGGTGCGCAAGGTCGAGGCGCGCTACTTTGCAGACACGCCGGCTGGCAGCGTGCATGCTGCGCAAGCGCTTGGCGTCGGCGGCACGCCGGTCGAGGCACAGCGTGCTGTGCAGACAGCGCTGGCTCGCGAGGTCGAGGACGGCGTCAAGCGACAGAAGCTGCTCGACGCCATCACGCGTGCGGTGGAAGCGCAGCTGTGCGGCACAATGGGCGACGAGGCGCTGCGCACGCAGTACCACGCCGTCAGCGACGAGGCGATCAGCGGACTAGCAGTGCAATGGTGACGTAGTATCGCAATGCATCGTCCCGCAGTACGTGCAGGTCCAGGGTGACAGACAGAGATGCGGCGAGGTGTGCTCGCGTGCTTCAGATCGACGGCGGGTCCGGGCCGGGCACAAAGACGCCAGGCCACTCGTTGGTGCCCCAATTTGCCTCGCTCATCTCGAAGAACATGGAGCCGTCGAGCAGCCCGTCTGCGCGAGGGAAGGAGGTCAGATCGATGCAAAGCGTCCGCTGAGGCCGGCCTACGCACTGAGAACGACGTTCCAATCCTGCAGAGAGGCGGCGTGATGAGCGAGAGGTCTGCGCGCGCTGCACGCACCACTCACCGTCTCTTGGCCGGCTCCCGCCGGCTTCGGGCCAGCATTGACGTCGCTCTGCTGCACGCCCGAGGGTCCGGCCGTGAAGCCCCAGTACGACGTGGCATCGACGATGGGCGACGGCCCTTCGCCGATGCTAGCGTCGCTGCTCGGCGCCGTTGCTGTGCCCGCGCCCATGCCGTGGTACATCGCATCGAGCATCTCGTTGCTGACGCCGGCATCGACGGTGCTGGGGTTGCGCTGCTGCCGCGCCTTGTATGCGTGCCGTGCTCGGCGAAGGATCGTGCGCAGGTACGGCGCATACGAACCCGCGCACCCCTCGCGGTGCGGCGTGATGTCTGCAGCTGTCGCGAGCGCAGCGACCACGCGATCGACGAGCGAGAAGACGTGCGGCCCATTCATGTACGGAAACGGCGGGTCGAGAGCGGTGAGCTTGAGCCCGAGCACGCAGACATAGGCGACGGTGACGACGGTGCTGTTGCGCGAGAAGGCGAGCTTCGTCGGGGTGACGATGTCGAGGAAGAGGCTGAGGTACGAGATGGTCGCCTCGTACGCCTTGCGGTACATTGGCGCCAGCGCGACGGCCGGGACGTGCTGGCAGCGCAGCGAGTACGAGTAGATGATCACCTCGGCGTACAGCGAATAGACTGCGGGAGGAGGCTCAGTGCGCAGCTCGCACCGGGCTCGCACAACACTACTCACGCCTGCAGTTGCGGAGGCGGCGCGTGGGCTCAATCTCCGTGCCGAGGCCGTTGACCCAGCGTGTGCGCCAGTTGACAACCTGCGTCTCGGCATTCTCGACCCAGAAGCCGAGCTGCACGCGCGCATACTCGCCCAGCGTGCCCACGAGGCTGCGGTCGAAGTAGTCGAAGCAGACGCGCATCGCCAGCTGCAGCTCCACAAGCGCGACGATTGCCTCGTCCTCGGGCAGTGCAAAGGGCATGCGATGCCTGTGCGTGGTCAGCGGAGACTCGAGGCGGCGTGGACATGATGCTCACCATCCGGCAGAGCAGCCAAAGCTGACCGGGTCCACCGCGAGAGTCGACCGCCGGCCCATGTGGGTGGCGAGCCCTTGTTCGAAGAGGAACAGGTTGAGCCAGGTCCTGCGATGCGTGGTCAGTCACGGGGCGTGCCATCTCGCACTAGAGCTAGCTCACCGTTCGCGGCTGCGCAAGCGTCGCTGCTGGCCCTCATCGAGCTCCGGCGCCGTGCCGCCAGTGACGTGGCGGTCGGCGACATGCCTTGGCTTGGCGCGACCGCTGAGGATTGCAGAGTCCATGCAGAGCTCACTGGCGATGCGCTGCCCGTAGCCGAGCAAACTCCAACTGCGATCGCCCGCGAGCAGCCTCGTCGGCGGATGGTACGCTGCGAGGATGATGAACGCCTGTGCGAGCTCCACGCTGCGGCAGCCCTCGAGCAGCACCGCAGGCATCACGGTGTTGTTCAAGTGGGCATCGAGGCGCGTCGCGATGCCGTGAGCGTCCGGCAGCGTATTGTCGAAGCGTGCCGTGATGGCGACTATGGCTGAGATAAGCATGGCGGAGCTGGAGCGCACGAAGGCGAATGTGCAGAGCACGGGATCGAGGAGCGTGAGAATCGAGTTGATGCGCGTCATGAAGAGGTCGAAGAGGTGCTCGGCCTCGCTCTCGCTCACGAGCCCGAGCGTGATGGGGTCCAGGCCGGGCCGCGTGTCTGGTCTTGACGTGTAGAGGCCGAAGATGCTCGACACCGTCGTGGCGTTGGCCACTGGATCAGGCTGGATTGTGCTGGGCCGTCTGTGCTCTGGCGTCGGTGATGCCGGCGAAGGAGACGTGGCGGTGCCCCCGCCGACTGCAGATGCGAGCAAGCGCAGCGGATTCGACAGCGGAGGCAGGCCGAGGGCGATCGAAGGCACACCAGCGCTGGAGCGGCGAGGCGGCAGCGCAGCACTGTGCGGCGACGTCCCGTCCATCGTCGAGCTGACAGTCATGGCAGACGGCCGATGCGAGGCACTCCACTCCGGCTCGGCCTCGGCTGCCTCGGGCGCTGGTGAGGCCGACTTGTGCGAAGAGCCGCTAGACGACGTGGGTGATCCGGACGGTGTCTCTACTCGACGTCGCTTGCGCGTTGACTCGCTAGTGGAGCTGCCTCCTGTACGCATGCCAGACTTGGCCAGCAGCGAGACTAGGTGCTTGCGCATGTCGTCTGCAGCCAAGCCCGTCTCTGTCTCGCTGGTCGTGCCGCGCACATCCTCGAGCGCGCCGAGCAGCGTCTCGAAGGAGCGCTCGAGGCGCGCCAGCTTGGCCGAGTCTGCGGGCCGTCGACCGCGACGGTGGGGCTCGAAGACGCACGGACGGCCTAGCCGCACACAGCGGGCGCAGCCCTTGCCAGGAGCCGGGCCGGTGCACTTTACCTGACGACAGCTCCCACGTTAGCGGCATGCAACGTCGGTCTCTGCGCTGACAGTCGAGTCGCTCGCTGCCGTGCGAACTCACCTTGCTGCCACGACACTCCATACAGCTGATCTTGCGATCCTGCCCGCCCGGCGGTGCCTCTGCCTTCTTCTTCGAGGAGGAGGCCGACGCCTCTGCTGCGGGCGCTTCGTCGTGCGCCGCACTCCGCGAAGACTCACGGCGCTCCTCGGGACTACGCGAGTCGACCTCGGGCCGAGAAGCAGGCGGCTCGTGGCGACGATGGTGCCACGCATCCCGCTCGTACTCTCTGCTGTCGCGCGCCCACGAGCGCTCGCCGCGGCCGCTCCACTCCCAGCTGCGATCCTCCCACTGCGAGCGCGGCGAGTGTGCGCCGCCGTCAAAGGGCGGCAGCGGCTGGTGCGTCACGATGCCAGGCCCGCCGCCGCGCGGCGCATAGTCGCGGCTGCTGGCGGCGTAGGGCTGCGAGTGCGCCGGCTGCGGCGGATGATAGCCGTTCTGGTACGGCGGCGGATGCATGGCGCCGGCGAGGGAGAAGGACGGCAGCGACGCCTCGCCAGAGCGCGGCGAGTGCGCGGGCGCTCGCAGAAGCATGCCGCGCTGCGCCAGCTGCGGCGCAGAAGCGGGCGGCGCCTGGCTGCCCATGCTGCTGCGATGGCTCGAGAGCCCGGAGAGGAGCGAGGAGAGCGGACGGTGCGGAGCGTCGTGGAAGGAGAGACCGCTGCTGCCGCGCGCGTGGCTGGTGCTGCTTGCCGGCAGCGACGACGACGACGACGACGAGGGGCCGCCGCTGCGCTGAAAGTAGGCGCTGGCACTGGCGGCGGGCGACGTACCAGCGGTGGTGGCCGAGCTGCTGCTTGCATAGCTGCTGCGTGCGGCATATGGGCTCGCCCCCTCCGGCACAGACGGCATGACGGCAGCGCTTGCCCTAGGCGACGGCGGGCGGGGCGAGGAGGTGCTGCGCATGGCGGCTACAAGGTTCGCCGTAGCTGCGAGGTGCAAGCAGTGCAGGCGAGCGGGATCTCGCGGCTGCAGCTGCGTTCCGGCTGGCCGGTGCAGTGCCAGGCGAGTCAATCGGGAATGTGCAGGCGGGATGGGGTGGCCGGTCGAGAGGTGCAGGCGGCTCGGCACGCGCCTCGGACCCCACGCGTCCGGCGCTCGCCGCATGCCGCCTGCTGCTCGCGGCTGGTGCCGATCCCATCGCCGCCTCGAGGCCTTCCCGTGTGTGCAGCAGCCGCTTCATGCGCAGCCGGAGCATCCACCGCCCACGCAAGATCGCTCACAGCGAGGGCCCGACTGCCCGGTCTCAGGCCAGGCGGTGGGGCCGTCCGCGCTACGCGACTGAGTTGCGCCAGCTTCCATGCAGCCGGTCGCTGCTCTGACGCTGCGCTCCAGATCTAATCGACTCTGATAGGCGTCCGTCTCTGTGTGACAGGCAGCAATCGCAGACAGCATGCAGCGAGAGAAGGGTGCAGCTCAGGCACGGCTGCGCAGGTTTGCCCGTCGCCGAGATGCGGGCTGCGAGGTGCAGCTCACGCCATCTGCGGCCGCTCACAGGTCCCTTTTGCGCACCAGCCGCGAGCTGCGCAGGAAGAAGCAGCCCGCCGTCGCATGTCCAGCTTGGCGACGACATGCGCTGCGAGCATGGCACGTACCGCCTCGGCCACGGGGGCCCAGCGACCCACACGGCAGCACCCTCGCGGCGTCGGTGAGCGAGAGGACCCTGAATGCTGCCGCTTCCGTCATGCGCGCCTGCGACAGTTGGTCCTGCGGCGCATGACAGGCGCCATGCGCAGCGTCAGCGGAAGGCAAGCGAGGGCGACTGTGGATTGCCGGAGGCTCAGAGCGAAGCAATTGCGAATCACGGTGAGGGGCCCACAGCGAGGGCGAGGCCGACGCCGACGACGAGGGCTGCCTCGCACCGGCACCTTCCCGCCACGCCGCCGCCATGGCTGGCGCACACATCGCACCGTGGGATGGCTGGCACACACACACATCGCAGCAAAAGGCAAAAAGAGAGGTTTCCGTGCGTGCTAGGCTGGGCTGCGATTTCAGGACATGGTCCGCCAGTCTGGCCGCAATCTCGGCACAACGTGGCGACGGGGCGCGCGGCGTGCGGTGCAGTGTTGCCACTCTGCCGCCTGCCCGCAGGCAGAAGGCGCCGCGGCCATTGCGTCCGGGCCGGGCACGCCTTGCGGCGCGCGCGGGCGCAGGACCGACCCCGTCGTGCACCAAGACGGCCAGGCTGCAAGGGCTCGCTGGCCCAGGACAGCGGATTCCTCAAGTGCGCCCATGACAGGCGAAGGCGGCACGTGCCTGTGGGTGCGGGTCATCTCGTGGGATGCACACCCGGCGCGTCGCAAGGCGGGCTGCGACGGAACCTGTCCGCCGGTGTGCGCTTGTGCCACGCCTCGCGTCTGCCATGGCGCGAAGCCGGGCTTCTGCTCGGGCACAGAGCAACACAGTCACCTCTTTCTGTACTATCTGCAGTCTCAGTCTGAGGTGTAAGCGCCGCCAGCAGCAAGCACGGCGGACGCTCATGCTCGTCGGCCAGTCTGGCGGGCGGAAGAGTCGCGCGCCGCGAGCTGGCCCTGCTCCCACGCCGTCCAGAGAGGCAAATCCAGGCGCCGCGCCGCGCTGCTTCTCTCTCCACCACACCTCACCATGCGGCTCTTCTCCGGCAGCGTCGCCTGCGCACGCACGCTTCTGGCACGGCCCAGCGCATCGCTCCTGCCGGCGCCGCGCCTCTTCGCGCGCGCCAGCTCCAGCTCCTCGTCGGCAACGACGCCGCTGATGGAGGCGCTGGGCAAGGTCATGTACACCGACGTCTCGCCCGACGCCGCGCGTGCGGCCAGCAGCGACGAGGCGCGCGCCGAGGCGCACTTTGCCGCACGCCCGCTGCGCGGCATGCCGGTGCCGCCGAGTCCCACCACCGAGGGGCGCAAGCACGCGTTCTCCACGCCCGACCGAGCCGTGCCGCAGGGGCCGGGCAACGTCGCGATGCTCTACAAGCAGCTCACCGCCACGCTCAACAAGAACCAGGTGCGCCGCGAGCTCGCACTCGGCGAGCGCTACGAGAAGCCAAACCAGGAGCGGAGACGGAAGCGCAGCGAGCGCCATCGCCGCCGCTTCAAGGACCTGGTCAGGCAGAAGGTGCAGCTGGTGAGTGGGCTCCCTCCACGGATGAGCAGGCCGCGGCTGTGCGTCGCGCTTCGCAGCTGACACATGCGTCTAAGGCGATGCGCATCAAGGAGTCTGGCGCATGAATGGCATGAGATGGGAACAGAGCGACTGTGCTGTGAGGATGGCGCATAGACGAGCGCGGGCAGAGACAGCGAAGGCACGCGCTGAGGCCGCCTGGCCTGGGTCGGACTGGCACGGGAGCGAGAGACTTCGGGGCCCTGTGCTCAGACTTGAGCCTCGGCTGCGAGAGCGGAAACCCTCGACATGGGCACTGTCGTCGCATCAATGGGGCGACAGGACGGGCAGTGGCGCTCTGCGAGTCAGGGACGTGAGCACCTGCGCTGCCGGCGGGCTCGTCGTTGGTGTGCAGAGGAGATGAGCCTGCTGGCTCTAAGCGACAGTCTATGCGCTCATGGCGCAGCTTTGCTTCGTCTTGCGGGCCATCGGCGGCTGCTAATGGCACAGCCGAGCTAGATGCACAGCGTCGTGGTTGGCACTCCATGCTTGCGCGCTGCGCTGCGTCGGGGCCTTTCATCCTGCTGCACTCGCTTTGCGTTCATCCTTGCGCCGGCTTGTGAAGAGGAGATCCTGGCTCGCCTGCCGCATATCCAGCCGCAGGAGTTGGACTTGTGCTGCTGCTAGAGCTCGCGCCCGTGTTCTCCGCCGCTCGATCGTTGGCGCACCACTGTCAGACGCGTATCTGCGGCACGGATGCTGGCCTGCCATAAAGTGCATCGTCTTTAGCTGGCTCGGGCGCCGATGTAAGCCCCCCTCGGACGGCACAGCTACGCATCTCGCGTGTCGCGCAGCTGCGAGCTGGAGAGAGCACAAGAATCGTCGCTGATCACTTCACTGCGCTTGGATTGTGCCACAGAGCGCGAATCTCCTGGGCGCTGCGCAACGCGGTGCTCGAGGGAGGAGCAGACGGCGTGGTCGCCCCGCCGCATGTGGCCGCACACTAGTTGCCGCAGCCGAGCTGCTGGCTGAAACTTGCGGCTCGCGAGCGCGGCGAATGCCAGCAGCAGCTTGCAAAGCGCATCAGGCCTAGACTTGTCGCTGCTGGCTTGACTCCTCTTCGCCACCCGTCTCCCACACACCAGCGCGCACGTCCTCATCTCGAGCGCATCCCCATTCCATTGGTGACCGAACGAGGCCCAAAAGGCAAGCCCAGCTCAACTACAATGACACCACGCAGCCCGCCGCGCTCCCTGCTCAGAACACATCGTCGCCCTCGTTGAAGAAGCTGGCGTACGTCATCACTGCGGGTGGTGATAGGGAGGGCGCGTCAGTTGAAGCACGACCGAGGGCGGACACAGCTTGGTGCGCGGAGCTGGCACGCCCTCTGATAGCGGCTGGCTGAGACAAGGGAGCGTCGTACTCTTTCTGGCTCCACCTCGGCAGCTGAACAGTAGCGCATGCACATCTCCCCATCTCTCCCATCCGTTCCCCGGCGGCGTCTCTCCCTGCTTTGCTAGCCAACTCACTAGTGCCGTACACCAGCAGCCCTCCCGCCGAGCTCATGATACACGCCATTTCCCGAATGATGCCCGCATGCGCCAGCGTAATAGGCAGCGCAAAGCCGCTCACGACCGTCGCGGCCGTGAGCCAGTTGCCAAAGTCCAAGAAGGCGCTGTTGTAGTCTGCCGAGAAGTCGTCTGCGCCGGCACAGCGCGCGCAGATGGAGTTGGGTAGAGGCGCGAGCACGTAGAGGAGCGCAACGAGGAGAGGCAGCCAGTTGCCGTAGAGCGCGCAGCTGAGGATGATGAGGAGAAAGCCGAAGGCTAGAGAGACGGAGAGGAAGATGACGGCTAGAGAGTCCAGGGGTCAGCAGGGCGCTCGCGCGAGCACGGGCAGATCAGGTGCGCCCAAGCATACTTTCTCGCTGGATGTGCCTCAAGCGTCAAAGCTGCGGAGCGACCCGAGCTTGGGTTCAGAGGCGGCTCTTGGGGCGGTGGAGCTGCGCCATCGTCGATGAGATGGCCAGCTCCACAGGCAGCCGCGCGTCGTCTTTGTCGCTCTCCTGTGTGGCACACTCGGGCCAGCAGCACTCACTCTTGAGTCCGGCAGCCATGATGGGCAAGAGGCAAGCACAAGCGACGGAGCTTGCAGACGGACGAGGGGATGAGTGGGTGAGGCGGATGTGGAGAGCAGCCAAGCCCCGCGCTGCGCGCCGCTCGGCGAGCGACGGCGCGGCCGTGCGGCGGCGCGGCGGCGAGGCGGAGCGGAGAGCCAAGCCTCGACGTGCGCTGCCGCATGAGCCTCACCTCCGCCTCTACCGCCGCAGCCCTTACCACAAGCAGCATTCCACCGCAGCTCAGCGCTGCTGGATACAGCTCAGCGCAGCTTCGGAGCGTCACCTGCGCAGCCTATCCGGCTTGCTCTCGCCCTCGCAGCCACTCCCGCTCTCCGAGCCGCGAAGTGGAGCAGCCGCCGCAGCTGCGCCCGAGATGACCGACATGCTCGATGCGCTCTCCAACAGCGGCTCGCTGCCCTCGCCGACCACGCCGCGGCCCAGCATGGGGCGCAACGCCTATCTGAGCGCCGCCGGCTCCAGCTCCGGGCCCAGCGCCGGCGCCTCGAATGGCGAGCGCAACGGCGACTCGCTCGGCCTGCCGCCAGCCGCGGCCTTTGCTGGCTCCTCGGCAGGCGCAAGCAGCGGGAGCAGTGGCATGCAAATGTCGGCTTCGAGCCCGGGGGTCCTGAGTAGGGCACTGCCCGAGCTGGAAGGAGAAGAGGGCGGGCAAAGCGCGGAAGAGCAACGAGAGGGACAGGAGGGTCAGGAACAGGAGGCTGGCGGCACCCGAGAGGCTTGGAAGGCTAGACGGAAAGTGTGAGTGGCTGTGCCGGGGTGCGATGCCTGATTGTTGATGCGCAGGGCACTGAGTCGGGGAGCGAAGAGAGCAGGCGGGAGCTGGCCAGTGCTGGTAGCGAGAGCAAAGGGGGATAGCAGCTGCACACTAGGACCTCCAGCGCCTCTGCTCGTCTGTGCACCAACGAGCGTTCGTCTCACGCCCGCTGCCCACAGGTTACTGGCCCAATCTCGCGACCACGTCGTAGCCAATCTCCAACTGCACGGCATGCGACCTCCGCCTTCGCTCGCACCTTCCTTCGTCGTGCCCCATCTCAACGCCTCCTCTTCCTCCTCGCAAGTCTCTGACGCCGGTCCCGCCGCGCGCAGCGCCATCCTCCCGTGGAACGACCCACGGCTGCGAGACGATGTGCTGAGGCTGATCGACCAGTTCCTGGCGGAGGAGGGTCTGGGTGCGACTCGACAGATGCTCTCTGAAGAGTGGAGCGGCAAAGTGAGGGAACGAGAGGAGAAGAGTGGAGATGCCAGAACGATCCGCAAGGGCATTCTAGGTGCGTTGTCTACTCCCGTCCCCTTTGATAGCGAGCCGCACAAACGCTGAGACAAAGACTGACACGTTGCGCTTGGACGGGCAGAGGGCGCGTGGGATGAAGTCGAGAAGCTCCTCTCCAAGCCTCTGGTGCGCAGTGCAAACGCCTTTCGCTATGCCGTGTACAAGCAGATCTTCCTCGAGCTCGTCGATGGAAGAGAATTTCAAAAGGTGAGGCGCGCATGAACGCACACACTTGCGAGAGCCTGGGGCTGACGAGGGGCCCCGTTCCTAGGCGTTCACATTCCTCAATAAGCGACTGAGAGGCTTGGAGCACTATCAACCTTACGCTGGAGAGTTCAAGGTATGCTCACGCGCTCGTGTCTGACCAAGAAGCCGGCTGACGCTCTTGGCCGCAGGATCTCTGCTATCTTCTCTCCGGTACGTCCTGCTCTCCGCCCTCGCCCCGCGCCTCGCTCACCCACCTACAGCCAAGTCGATCACCGATGCGCCTTCTTTCCGGGCGTGGGAAGGCGTGCAACCGGCACGCGAAGCACTCGTGGCGCAGTTCAGTGGCCTGCTAGAGCAAGATCGCATTGAGGCAGCGGACGATAGTGCGCCTTACGTGCCGCCTCATCGCTTGAGGAATCTGCTGCACATGGCCGTCGCGTACCAGGCGAGTCCTGCTTGGGCGTTGCGAGAGGAGTGCCGAGCTGATGTGCGACGCAGGTCGAGTTTGCCAGATACCATCCGAGAAAGGCACCGCGAGTCAATACGCTGCTGCATGACTACGGTGAGCTGCCTTCGCTAGGCTGCGCCTTCGCCCGTCGTCCCATGCTCACTCCGTTGCCCGTTCGCAAAGAGTCCTACGTCGTGCCCGACAGTGTGCTTCACACGTTCCGCGGACATCGTCGCAACGTGAAGGCGCTGGCCTGGGTCGGCTCCGAAGGGCGCTCGCTCGTATCTGGCTCTTCAGACGGCTCCGTGCGCATATGGGATGCCGAGAGCGCCCGCTGCGAAGCAGTGCTCGATCACGGCGGACGCGTGTGGGATGTCGACGCCACCATCGCCGGACAGCATGTGCTGAGCGCCGGAGGAGACGGCACGGTGAAGCTGTGGGGACGCAGTGGAGAGCTGAAAGCTACGATGGGCAGCGCGGTGGGGGATGTGTATGCCTGTCGGTGGAACCAGGCGGGCACGGCGATCCTCACGGGAGGCTATGACAAGCTGGTGCGCCTCTACGACGCACAGACGGCGGCTTTGACGTCGACTTTTACCGGGCACTCGCTTGGCATCTCGAGGTGAGCAGTTGCTCGACGTGCCTTCACGTGCGCATGAGACTGACGGCTGCTACCTCTGGCAGCGTGACATTCGACCCGGCCGGCCGACTGGCCATCACTGCGTGAGTGACGGCTCGCGACATGCGCACTGACGGCGGTGCTGACATCTTGCACTGTCGCCAGCTCAAAGGACACTGGCATTCGACTGTGGGATCTCAACAGCGGCGTGAGTCAGCCCATCGCCTCGTCACTGGCCTGCGTGGCGCTTCTCTGACCCATGCTTCACTCTGCAGCTTGCCGTGCGCACGCTTCACGCACACTTGGGCGAAGTCACCTCCGTCGAGGTGGACCAGACCTCGCGTACGCTCTTGTCGGCGGGCAAGGACAATCAGAGGTGCGTTCAATGAGCCGCGTTGCGCTATGCATCGCTCACGCCTCCCTTCACTCGCACACAGTCTGCTGCACGACCTCCGCACTCTCAAGCCCCTGGTGCGCTTCAAGGGCGCGACCAACACGCGGTCCAGTGTGTGCCTCTCTTGTCCACCACTCGCTATCCCTTGCTCACTGCCTGCGCAACGCAGACTTCGTCAAGTCGCACTTTGCACACAACTCGCTCATCGCCTCGGGCAGCGAGTGTGGCAGTGTCTATCTCTCCGACATGGAGTCGGGCGAGGTCATCCAGACGCTGGAACACGGTCCCGGCGTCGTGTATTCGGCCAGGTGGTGCGCTGCTCAGGTGCGTTCTTCCTATCTGCCTTCTCTCTGCTAGGATGCATTGCTAATGTGTCCTCAATGACAGGCGGCACTGGCGTCGTGCGGCGATGATGGAGTGCTGCGGACGTGGATCTGGAAGCCGGAGAAGGAGGACGAGGAGAGCAGTCTGGATCGCACACGCGCGGTGGCGGCTGCGGCTGCCGAACGACGAGGCAGTCGCTGACAGGTCGACGCAGGACGCGCTCTTGCTGAGCCGGAAAGGGGCAAAGATACAAATGGAATTGCGTCACCGATGGAGCTGTGCGATGAGAGATTTGAGATGCTAAGCAGCGAGAGGCTGATCGGATCTCGAAGAGCATTCAGGCCAGAGCTGGCGCGCGAGGCCAGCGGCCGGATGAGAGGGTAGACGAGCTGCGCCCGCGCTCGTCGAACAGACGGAGTCATCTCTCTCGCTGATTGCCGTGCTGTAGCGCGAGTCCGAAGCGCACGTTTGCGCAAGCGAGGGTGAGGCGCGTTGCGCTCTCGAGTTGGCATCACGAGTGTAGGTGCCGATGTCGAGCATGTTGCGCCGCAGTCTTCAAAGGCTTGGAGACGCGGGCACAACATGCTGCGACGCGGCTAGTACACTCAAGATGCCGTACCGTAGCACGACGGAGCTTCGCCGTGCCCTGCGCTGTGCCCAGATCGCGAGCGAAAGTGTTGGCGCGGGAACGAGCGGTCGCGTTGCGCAATCTGTGCCCGACGACGCTGTGAAGCTCTTCGTGCCCTTGAGCAACAGATCGAATGTGGATGCCGACGCGACAATCATGCGCCCGCAGCCTCAAGATGCTTGCTTGAAGATGCGAGCGCATCATTGGCGCACTCGGCGTATACACTTGGGCTGTCGCTCAAGAGGAACGAACTGCACAGCGTGCTGCGCTGAGCCCAGCCGGCTCGAGCGCGAAGACGTTGCGTTGCAGATGTCGTGCCCTTGTGCTCGGCGTCGGCATCGCCGTAGGCGTCGAGAGATGGATGAGGTGCGGCGACGATGAGAGATGAGCGAAGCAACACTGCTTCGCCGGACGACGCAGGCCGCAGGCCGCAGGCCTCAAGCACCGACGCTCGCCGTCTGTCCCGCCGACGCTACAGTCGGCGCAGCTGTAGCTGCATCGTCGTCATCGTCTTCGAAGTCGAGCTGTGGGCGACAGAGCAGGTCAGCAACGAAGAAGCAGCCCGGGAAGATAGGACGACACGGAGAGTCGAAGAAACTGTGACTTGCAAGCTCGAAGCGGTCAAGCACCGCCCTCACGCCCTCGAGGCGGCTCGCTCGAGCCCCAGCCGTGAGTGGACGCTTGGGTAGTGGAGCACCCACAGCAGTGCGCCAATGTCCGCTCCGTCCTTGCTGTCTTCCCTTCACGAGCGCAGCACACCTCCAAATCCATGTCCCGTCTCTCCTACTCACCGGATCAAACACGACGCGGATGACAAGCGAGCAGCTGGGGCACGTTGCAATGTCCTCGGCGTCCCTGAGCTGCTTGCGCGTGATCTCGAAGCGGTCGCCGCACGGGCAGGGGTAGTGGAAGAGATCGCGCTCGGCGTCGTAGGCCAGATCCTCCAGCTCCACCTCGTCGTAGATGGACTGCTTCGGCATCGCGTGAGGAGCTGAGAAGAGAGCGGACGGCGGTGGTGGGAGTCGTGTGCGAAGCAGCAGCCAGCCAAAAAGTGGCGAGCGGGCGAGCGGCTCTCTCGTGCGGGAAGGCAGCCTCGGGAATCTGCGCACTACAACAATGCGCCGGCGCCGTTGTAGTGGCCAGACCCTTTCGCGCTTCAGCTCGCTTTGTATTGCGCGGTGCGCCCGCGTGAGAAGGCACAAGACAGGCGGCGTGCCTGGCGAGAAAGTGGCTGCGCCGCGCCGGCTGTGTGGGCGCCGTGGCTTGGACCAGCAGCAGGCGCACCCCGAGCCCTGACTGGGCCTGGCCTCGCCTCGCATTCCAATCGTTGCTTCCTCACCTCCTCCACCCCTCTCTTCTCCTCGGCTCCGTCTCCGTCCGCCGTCGCGTCACCGCACGAGCATCTCTCACCCCCCTCACGACCTCCCGCTTCAGCTCGACCCGCACGACGCACATCCCCGCCTCAGTCCCTTCACACGCTCGCCCAGCATGTCCGCCAACGCCCGTCTGGACCAGATCCAGAGCCACATCGACCCGGCGCAGAGTGCCTCCGGTGCGTGTCCATGCAGCAGCGCGGCGCGGCGCCGCCGAGCGCCGGCTTTGTCCAGCTCTTGCTGGCCCTGACTTGCCAGCGCTGATCTGGCCTTCCTGCCTCTCGCAGCAACGTGGGAGAGCGTGCCGCAGGCGCCGCCGGACGTGTGAGTCGCCTGCTGTTGGGAGCGAGAGATTGAGGGAACAAGGAAGAATGCGAGGCGGGCAGATGTATTGCAGCGCTCGGAGGGCCTCTTCAGCACGCAGCTGCAGCGCCGCGTCGAGCTGGCCGATCTCGATAAGCTCAGGGCTTTAGAGCTGACCGCGGTCTCTCTGCGCACGCAGCATCTTCCAGTTGACGGCGGCGTACAAGGCCGACAAGTACGAGAAGAAGGTGAACCTGGGCGTCGGCGCATACCGCGACAATGACGGCAAGCCGTGGGTGCTGCCGAGCGTCAAGAAGGTGAGTCACGCGCAGAGCGAGCGGCGTCGTGCCGAGACGCAGCCTGCTCACTCTCACTCGCAGGCACAAGCTATCCTGCTGAACGACGACACGGTGGACCACGAGTACCTCTCGATCACTGGACTGCCCGAGTTCGTGGCCTCGGCCGCCAAGCTGATCCTCGGCAAGGACTCGGCGGCCACGTCCGAGGGGCGCGTGACGAGCGTGCAGACGATCAGCGGCACGGGCGCCAACCACCTGGCCGCCGTGTTCCTGGCGCGCTTCTACGACTGGAGCCGTGCGGGCGGCGAGAAGAAGATCTACATCTCGAACCCGACGTGGGCCAACCACAAGGCCATCTTCAACGCCGCTGGCATCGAGCCCGTCGACTACCCATACGTGAGTTGCGCGGGCGGAGCAGAGAGAGGAGCAGCGAGGAGCGCGGGCTTGTCGTAGTTGTCACTCTGACACCCGTCTTCTGTGCAGTACGATGCCAAGACGGTCGGCCTCGACTTTGAGGGCTTCACTGGCGCGCTCAAGTCCGCACCGAACCGCTCCGTGTTCCTGCTGCACGCCTGTGCGCACAACCCCACGGGCGTCGACCCCACCAAGGAGCAGTGGGGCGCGATCAGCGACATCTTCCTCGCCAAGGGCCACATGGCCTTCTTCGACTGTGCCTACCAGGGCTTCGCGTCTGGCTCATTAGACGCCGACGCCTTTGCGGTCCGCCACTTCGTGGCGCAGAAGAACATTCCGCTGCTGATCTGCCAGAGCTTCGCCAAGAACGCCGGCCTGTACGGCGAGCGCGTCGGTGCGCTGCACGTCGTGTCGGCAAGCAAGAAGCAGGAGGCGGCCGTCAAGTCGCAGCTCTCCGTCATCCAGCGTGCCGAGATCTCCAACCCGCCGGCCTTTGGCGCGCGCGTCGTCAGTCTCATCCTCAACGACAATGCGCTGTGGGAGCAGTGGAACAAGGACGTCAAGTTCATGGCGGAGCGCATCATCGACATGCGCAAGCAGCTGCACTCGCTCCTGACGGAGAAGCACAAGACGCCGGCGCCCGGCGGCAACTGGGACCACATTCTGAAGCAGATCGGCATGTTCTCCTACCTCGGCCTCACGCCGAAGCAGGTCAAGTACATCGTCGACGAGGGCCACATCTACATGACGGGCAACTCGCGCATCTCGATGGCCGGCCTCAACACGCACAACGTCGCGTACGTGGCCGAGGTCATCGACAAGGCTGCCCGCACCGCCTGAGCCTGTTCTCGCCCTCATCCTCCCAGCTGTGCTTCTCCGTGCTGCGTGTGTCATTGCGATCGATCAACAGACAGAGGTGTGGCAGAGCGGCGATCCAGGCATCGGATGTGCGGGGAAGATGTCTAGTTGTGGTTCTGCGCGCGCGGCGGCGGACGCTTGGCCGGGTGCGTGCGGTGGTACTGCGGCGAGCCGGCACAGCGCACGCCCATGACTGAGGTGTGAGAAGGACGGGTCAGCGACGAGCGAGATGGCATCGGGGCCGTGGCAGCAAGGCACTCACGCTCCGTAGCTGCGTGCTCCGTCCACGCCGGGTCGGCCATCATGCCGCGCGCGAGCAGGATGAGGTCGCAGTCGCCGCGCTGCAGTGCGTCTTCGGCCACCTGGCCCGGGTATTCGTCGCCCTCCATCATGCCGACGGCGCCGACGAGCATCTTCTTAGGCTTGGTCTGCTTGACGCCTGCCGCAAACTCGAGCTGGTACGCCGGCTTGGGCGAGATCTTCTGGAAGGGCACGAGGCCACCGGCGCTGACATCGAGCACGTCCACTCCCTCTGCATCCAGCAGCGGCGCAAGCTTCTTCGTCTCGTCGCCATTCCACGTGGCCTGGCCGTCGGCCTCGACGTGCTCGGCAAAGTCGGTGCCGCTGACGCGCACCCAGAGCGACTTGTTGGGGTACTTGCTGCGGATGGCACGCACCGTGTCGAGCAGCAGCTTGGTGCGCCCCTCAAAAGAGCCGCCGTAGGCGTCGGTACGCTTGTTGGAGAGGGGAGAGAGACAGCTGTGCAGGAAGTAGCCGTGCGCTGCGTGCAGCTCGACGACTGCAGCAAGGGTCAGCGTACTGCTCGGCGCACAGGCGGCTGCGATTGCACTCACAGTCGTAGCCAGCCTGGAAGGCGCGGTCGGCGCCCCTGATGAAGTGCTCCTGCAGCTCCTCCATCTCCTTTGTCGACAGCTCGCGCGGCGTGATCCAGCCCTCTCCGTACGCCACCGCGCTCGGCGCCACCACCTCTCCCTCCCATCCGCCCTCTGCATCGGTGACGTAGTCCTTGTGCTTCTTCTCGCCGCGGTGGTACGGCGACCACGTGCTGGCCTTGCGACCGGCGTGCGCCAGTTGGATGCCGACGGTCAGGCCGGGCGCCACGGTGCGCAGCGCCGAGACGAGCGAGGCGTGCGCGTCGATGTGCTCGTCCTTCCAGATGCCGAGACACTGCGGCGTGATGCGCCCCGCAGCCGTGACGCCGCTGGCCTCGACCATGATGGAGCCGACGCCGTGCAGCGCCCACGAGCCGAGATGGCTGAGGTGCCACACCGAGGGAAAGCCGTCCTTGGCCGAGTACTGGCACATGGGCGACACGATGACGCGGTTCTTCAGCGCCAAGCCGCTGTTGCTGGCGCTGAGCTGCACTCGCGGATCGAAGAGCTTGGGCCGCGAGGCGCCCTCAGGCACGATGTCGGCAGGCACAGCACCGGCGGGAGGGTGGCCCTCGCGCGCAGGCACAAAGTGGCCCAGCGTGAGGGCCAGCGGCTTGTCTTGCGGCCACACGGGCGCGGCCTGGCCCGAGGCATAGTCGGAGATCTTGTCGCTGGGCATGCTGGCGCGGGGCGAGGAGTGCAGGGTGCGCGAGGCGAGAGGGAGGAATGCGGAGCCGGGCGAGGCACGACGGACGAGGTTATGTAGGAGCATGCGGCGGCGGGCTGAGGAAGCTCGTGGAGCAGAGCAGGCCGGCGACTGGGCTGCGAACCCGTGTGGCTGCGAGGAGCGAGAGGCCGGCGCCGGCGAAGCACGCAACACGCACGGCGTGGAGCGAGAACCTCATCCGCCGCCGCTGCCGCTGCTTCCGCGCTTCCGCGGCGGCGGCAAGGTGGAGGCGTGGCGCCGTCGTGCCGCGGCGGGGCAAACGACTCAGACTCTGACTGGCACGCGCGCACGCCAGCCCCGCCATCTGGCCCTTGCCCACTGACTCGACTCTCCTGCTCGCTGCGTTGTGAAGGAGCAGCTGGTGCTGCACGGCATGCGACGCACACCAGTCTTTATTTCCGGCCGAGTCGCGGAGCTAGCTCTTGGCAGACGCAGGCGCGTGGGACCTGCTCAAGCACGATGAGCTCGAGGCGTCGCGGCTTGGTCAAGGAGACACGCTCGCGTTGAAGCGCTGCCTCTCGTCCTAAACGTGGCGAGGCCCGGGCCGGTGCGACGTGCTGTGACCGCGAGAGCAAGAGGCAAGCACCAGCACTGACAGCACAGACGACACTGCCTCGCAGCGAGAACACAAGTGACAGCGATCCTCATTCAGCATCGCAAGCGCAGGCGTCTGCTACGCGCGCTCCTTCTTCATCTTCTTCGCCTCGGCCTTCTGCAGCTTCCTGGCCTCCTTTTCGACCTTCTTGTCGAGCTTCTCCTGCTGCTTTGCCGGCGAAGTACTCGCGGCAGCAGGTGCAGCCGTCGTCTTGGCCTTCTTGTGTGCCGGCGGACCGTCTGACGGGGTGGAGTTGGAGCCTGCTGGCTGGCTGCAGACAGGGACGAGGCAGCGCATCAGCACACTCGCAGTGAGAGTGACTGCGGGCCAGGAGTGCGAGACTCACAAGAAGCCACCGAGCTTGTGCTCCGGCTGCCGCCGCTTCGTGCCGGCCGCAATGGGCATGGGAGGCATCGGCGGCAGCGGCGGCAGCTTGCGTGCCGCCGGCGAAGGCTCGGCCTTGAGCTTGGGCGGCAATGCCACCAAGTGCAGGTGCTGCTTGACGGGCTGCTTCGCTGTGAGGATCGAGAAAAGTGGCGCAGCCTCAGCACGTGGCGGCCACCCTCGCGAGGGGCATCGTGTGCAACTCACTGGCCTTGAGCTTTCCCTGACTGGGCACCAAGACCGTAAAGCCTCTCATCTCCACCGGTCCGTCGGCACTCGCATCTTCCTGTCGTGCCTTTCCGGCTCCCGCAGCCATGGCAATGAGCTGCGTCGTCTGTTCGTTGCTCTTGCCGGCGCCCACGCCCGGCGCGCCGCCGGCCAGTGCCGCGCTGTCGGGCGCTTGAGGCGCCAGCGAGCGGAGCGCATACGTGGTGCCGTTCAGCGGCAGCCTTGCGAGGTCTGAGCCATGCGCTCCTTTTGGCAAGGAGAGGACGAGGCCATCAAGATCTCTCGGGCGGACCTGATGCATCAGAGAGCGCTGTCAGCCCTGGCCTTCTCCTTCTCGCTCCGCCACGCGCGGAAGGACTCACGCCATCGGGCACGCGCACCGCCCACAACTCCTGCCCGCCCGACAGCACCGGCATCTCGGCGAGCGCTGCGGCACCATAGCCTGGCTCGGGCTTGTACGGCATCGGCGCATTGCGCTGCGGCTGCGCGGCGGCAGGCACCGTCGCGGCGGGCGCGGCGGCGGCGGGGCGAGAGGAGGAGCTCGACGAGGACGACGAGCTGCTGGAAGAAGAGGAGGAGGAAGAGCTGGAGGAGCGGGACCGAGGCATGCTGGGCGAGCGTGCGTGGGGTTGAGGTGAGGAGGTGGAGAGAAAGGCTTCCCCTCGCCGTCGGAGGGCGCGGAGCAGCAAGAGAGGCGCGCGGGCCGCGCCGTCGCGCGCAGATTCGACTTTTGGCTTACGTCAGCATCGCGCCGCCCCCCTGGCCCCTCCAGCTACTCTCTGATGGCACCTGCGTCGTCGGATACGGGGCTTGGGAAGCTCATTTAGAGCTCAAATTGTCGAGAAAGATAGGCTAGTATGAGTCCTGGATTGGTCTGTGCCCGCGAGCGCTGCTGACGTTCCAGGGCCGCGATGCCCGCTACCTGGAGCAGGCTACTCCCTCTGCGCTCCCTCTCGTCGTTCAGGCATCTCGAACTCATCACGATCCGTTGGGCGTCAAGCCTGTTCGGCTGCTCAGTGAGGAAGAGCGCGACAGGCGAGGTGATATGATTGGGCGGTAGAGTACAAATGAGACGGGAGAGGGCAGAGAGACGCTTCAGGCGACAACGATCGGCCGCTCGGGCGCCGGCTCTTGCACAGACGGTGCAGCGGAGTGCTCCTCCTGCTTCGCCGCGGCGACAGTCTCCTGACTGATCTCTGCGCCACGTTCCGTGGCCTTCTTGAGCTCCTGGTCCTGCTTCAACTCTCCCTCCTCTCTCGCCTCCAATGCCTTCCTTACGGGCGCGAGAATCTCCTCTGCCTTTGCCGCTCGCACCGCCTCCACATCCACGCCAAACACCTGCGCCATCTCCTCGATCGTCTTTGCGCGCTCCATGCCCTGCCGCACCTCCGACAGCTGCTTCTTGCTCCGCGCATTGGGCAGCACGGGCGCGTGCGGCGCAAAGTTGGACGAGGGCTTGAGCGTAAACTGCATCATGCAGAACTTGCTGTTGCCGAAGTTGTTGTTGAAGTAGGCCGCCTGTCGTTGAGTGTAAGACGAGGGCAGATGCAACCGAGGTCGCTGTCGTACTCACGTAGCGCACGTATTGCGGTGCTACCTCGTCGGCTATTGACGAGACGCCTCGGGGCGCAAAGCACGACGGGTTCGCCTCTGCACCACGAGCGATCATCACCGACGTCACGCCTGCGGTGTGGGCCATCAGCGACATGCTGCGGCAAGCACCAGCGACGTGCATGCTGGACTCACCGGTCATCTCCATGATGCGTTTCGCCTCGTTCCAATCCCACGCGTCTCCATTACAGCACAGCGGCAGCTTCCCTCCCGTCTCCTCCCTCACAATCTCGACGACTTCGCGCAGACGATCCAGCAAAGCCGGCTCGCGCGGACGCATCTCCTTGGTGCGGCAGTGCACCGTCAAGTTGTCGATGATGCCGAGGCGCAGAATCTGGCGCACCAGCGCCTGCGTCTCCTCGCGCGACGGCAGCAGGCGAATCTTGCAGCTGACGCTGACGTGCGGCGGCGCCGCTCTGCGCATGGCGCGCAGCACGTCGCAGAGAATGTCGGGCGTCGTGAGGAGATGCGCGCCCATGCCGCCGATGGTGGAGAAGGGCTTTGGGCAACCGCAGTTCAGATCCACGCCTGCCACGTCGTCGTGCGCGGTGACGAACTTGATCGCCTCGTATGCCCAGGCCGCATTGGCGGAGCCGAGCTGGAAGATGACCTGCTTGCGCTCGACGGGATGCGTCGTGAAGATCTCCTTCTCGTCCTTGACGAAGGACACCAGACCCGTGTCCTCTGCCGCAGCGTGAGGAGGCGTCAGACGCCGCAGGAGGGGGCCATCGCAACGCCGCCGGCCCGAAGCCAGACGCAGCAGCTGCACTCACCATTCACGACGCGCGTGCAGCCCATGATGGCGCGGTCGACAATCTCGGGGCCCCAGACGAGGCTGGCGCCGTACTGCAGGCTGAGCAGGCGCGTGGGCAGCGAGCCGCTGCGCACCATGGGCGCGAGGAAGAGGCCTGTGCGGAAGGGCACGGGGCATTTGCGGCCCGCTGCGTGTGCCGCAGCCAGCACGTCGTCGAGCGCGGGCGCATCGGCGGGGAGGAGCGAGTAGGGCGCCACGGGCACGGCGGGCGCCACGCGCGCACGCTTGCTGCTCGGCGCGCCGCCGGCGCCGTCGGTGCTGCTGCCGGCCTCGGCAGGCGCAGGACGGGTAGGCATGCCGGAGAGGAGCGAGCGGCGCCAGCGAAGAGATGCTGCGGAGAGGCGGGTGCGAAGGAGGAGCGGCCGCAAGGCAGGGACGCTCATGTGCTGGTGGGCAGGAAGGAAGCGCGCACCGCGGCGCGCAGGCAAGGCCCAAAAAGCGAATAGAATGCACCGCGCCGCCGCGCGGCAAGGACGCTGACGAGGCGGCGCCCTGGCGTGCCGCGACGGCGACGCCGCGATTGCCTCTCGCCCTCACCTCTCTCTCTCTCTCTCTCTCTCTCTCTCTCTCTCTCTCTCTCTCTCCCTCTCTCTCTCTCG